AATCACTCAGTATTGTTAATAATAGTTGAACAAATATTGAAAACAATAGAGTTTTAAATAAATAATATAATTTTAATAACCCAATGAGTAGATAAACTAGATTTTCTGATGTTTCGCGACTTAATGTAAGCCACTTCTTCAGAGAATAAATACCTTTCTTTCTTTCTACGAGCTAATACTTTCTCTCTGTATTATATACTTATATGTAATTTTTCTTTTATGTATTACTATTATTGAAGTAACTACTTCTATGAATTTGATGTTCATTTTGTTGTGCTATTGAGGTATAGCAACTTGGATCGATGCATATATGTGCCATGTCCCACGTTGTAGATGACTGATTGATCAACTGAAGCTTAAGCGGAACTTTCTTAATGACTAAGAGGAAAAAATCATTTATGAATAAATTATATTTCCTCTTAGGTTTTCATTTACTTTAATGCTTATCTCTTTGTTTAATATCATTCAGTTCAATCTTTAGTTTCATTGTTTCAATGTCCTTAGAAGGTCAGTATTTTTAACCAATTCAAGGTCAAATTGATCGCTCACTTAACTACCATACCTATTTTGTATTAAAATAAAAAAATACTGAATGAATTAATATTTTTCTGTCACTTTCTATTTACTCTTTTTGTTTTACTTGTCATTGACCTAAAGTGTTTCAATCAAGATGATGAAACGGTACTAATACTCTAAAAGAGCGTTGGATGCCATTTTCAGCTTTCTATCCTGTTCATTATTTTCTTAACTCAATTTCACAAAAGTTCTTAAATTAAAGCAGAACGTCTTGCTTTTGATTAGTTCCTCAACTATTATCAGTTCTGAATGAAAATAACATTCGCATTATTCATATGCGATGAGTTACTAGGTGGTGATCAATGTTATGTTCGTTTTGTCCCTAACTGGCGATTAAACACTCGGCTATTTATATTTTACTGATCACTAATCACTGATCAACCAATTGTAAATATTTCGGTCCTACAGGAAGTCACTAGTCACCCGCGTAGCCCAGCTGTATTGTTTCAGACTGTGAAGCAGTGTAAAACGGGAATACCATTCCCCTCAATATCACAGGTATGACTTGCAGATGAATATCAGGAATCACGAAGCATTAGTCAACTGTTTCATGTCGACTACCGTTAACCGCCTAACACCCTCATCCATCGAATGATATTTTATGAAACTATAGTAATTCCTAAATTTTAGTAATTTTGTTGAGACTAAATAATTTAAAAACTTTAAGATGGTAATATTTTTATAGTAATGCTATAGGAAAACGTTATGAAGATTTTTGGTAGTGAACAGTTCATATCAGATGAAGTTTGACGTTAAAAGGATTGTTCATTAACAAATGTTTTTCAGTGTTCCCTGAAATATTATTGATAAATAAATATATGGTCGAGGTTGTTCCACCTATCAGTATTGCATTTTGCCTGTATACTAATTAATTTGTAGGACTATTAGAAATGTAGGTAGTGTGTATTTATTCTTTGGTGAATTATGAAATTATCTGGTGTCCTGGATATTTTGTTATTGGTAAATTGTCTATGTGTTTATTTAGAGTGCTTAGGTAAGGGCGTTTTAGTAAAAGTGATCATATAGTAATCGGTGAAAATTATCAGTCCAGCTATTTCGTTATGAACATTACTAATTCAACTATCAGTAAGGGCAAGAAAACATATTATTGATTACTATAAAGTAATCAGTCAGTAACTATACTTAATCACTTTTTACTTGGAATCGATAACTGCTTAATTGACATGGTTGCAAAGTTTTTAATTTTAGTAGTGTCAAATTCAAATTCATAAGTTTGCTGAATCACATGTGGAAGCAAAATTGACCATTTCTACTGATCGCCTAACTTTTTTCACTGATTGTAGACTGATGGTACCATATAAAACTATATGCAATTCAGTAAATCAAAATGATAAGACTCAGAAAACCCAATAATGTCAAAATATTACCAGCTGATATTTCATGGTACATCAATTAGTAAAATTGACAATATTCAATGAAGGTTATACTAATTCTCATGAGTTTTACCAAGTTGTACTGTTTCACTCTTGTAAAATATCTACTATAAAAGTGGAAGTGTATGAATCATAATTCTAGTGTTCATTTACCCACCTACATACCTCAGTTTGTTAATTTTACTCTTTTATTATTATTATTATTATTATTATTATTATTATTATTATTATTATTATTATGAGAGGTTGGACAACTATAAACCAATACATATTCGTCTAATAATCTAATCAGATCTTAAAACTGACATACTATCTATAGAACACTTAAAGCTAATAGTAATTCGACATTATCTTAATGTATTCATCGAAAAAAAAGAGAAGTGATTCAGATATTCTGTAATTCTTTTTGTTAAGAAGATGTAAATATTACTATTTTTTCTTCATGTTTGCTTCTTGAATATGATATGTTTACATTTCTGGTGTAAAAGTATTGATTTCAAATTATTGATCATTACCTTCTTTATTATTATTATTATTATTTATAACTAATAAGTATAGGCGTTGACAAGTTCAATATTAAAATGATTAATCATTATTGTTTAATTGACCAGTAATTCATTCAATTCTTATTCTTATTTATAATATTGAAAGGAAATATAATTTTCCTATTTCATTCATTGTATAGTGTTGTTATAGAATATGATTGTATGAATATAAATTTTACCATTTGAGAGAATAAGTAAACTGATATCTATGTATGATTCATACAAATTTATGATACTTTAAGTAACTACTTAAAGTATGTCGATATAGTAATATGTATTAATAAGGAAATTATTATTTATAGATAATAAAGAATATTATATCATGAACATTAAAATGTTGAATTTATAAGTCCATTGAAGCTCGATTACTATGTAAAACCTGAAAGTCTTGGATGGCCATTCTATCCTAGTGTGGAACTCTTCAACAGTGCACATCCACAACCCCATCTTGTGAAATTAGAACTCAGGACTTATCAGTCTCGTGTGCGAACGCTTAACTACTAGATTACTGAGCCGGCCGGTATCGAAAGATATTAATGTCTAACTTCAACTAATCCACGAAATTGAGCCACACATCCACCATTGTCATCAGTGAGTTACTATCTCACAATAGACCCGGTTGAACTCCATTGGTCACTGTTTATTACTAGAACTCCAGGAAATATTTATATCTAATTTAACCGTAAAATTAAATGACCTATCTAAAATCTATCAACAGATTTCATATTCAATTTTCTCTCTATGACTAAACTTACATTCATAATTGAATAAATCAATAAGTAAAATGACATCATGATTTGTGTGCAGTCATTTTTAAGAATCAGAGAAAGCAAATAAGTAGGCAGCATGATAGATCTATATAGAAATAATTTGTATTATGATTTAGAATTAATTAGCCAACTAGATTTCAAGATGGAGTAATGAAAACTAGGATTAACGTTTTCTTCTTTAACTAATTCAAACGGAATTAACCTTAGAACCTTTGAATTTTTATATTGAATGCGACATTATATTTTGAATTGGTCATTCAGTGGTACTTTTCTTACCTGTTTTTAACTCTAATAAAAAAATTATACAAAAGAATATTTAGAATGATATGTAACGAAAATAGAATGTTTGTCCTTGATTCATTCCTCAGAAATAGGAAGTAACCCATTCTAAATTACTTGAACACTTTGTAGTAACCAATGTCATGGTACCTAATTAAATTTTATTCAAAAAGATGCAATCTATTCATGAGTCCTAATGATTCAACAAAATAATGGAATTTTTCTATAAAAAGTAGAACGAAGCAAACAGTAAGATGTTGTTAACGAAGATTTCCTGCTAGTTGGGACATATCAACATGGTAAATCTGTCCTCTTGAGGAGGCAACTAAAGTTACCAATATCATAGTATGAAAATTATCAATAACTTATTCAAATCACTTGAATGACTTATTCTAACTAGCGCGAATCTTGTGTTGGCTGCTTTCCTATCGAATTTTCTTTAACTACTCAACATTTAAACCAGTTTATAATTTAATAATCTTTACAAACCCAGTATATTTCTAAATTCAAATTCATTTAAATGACCATATTCCAAAATTATTTGTAAAATTGTACAGTTGTTCGAATAGTTTCACAGTATTTTAACTTTGAGTTGATGTAAGACATTAAAGAGGAAGAATCAATTTAAAGTAAATTCAACATTTCATCTGGCAATCTTTTTCCTTCAAAATGTTTAGACCAGATTTTACAATCACATTCTTCCTCTTTAATTGTACATTTATTATTTAACTCATTCTCATGGACAATAATGACGATACACTATATAAAAACATCGAATAATCAATACATCAGTATAAAATAAATTGGCCATATATATATACTTCTGTTTTTTACTCTTCTAGGATTATAATAAACTATGGAATGTGAATAAATACCTCAAATCAAAACAATAACAATAACATTTGATTAGTCACACACAAAAAAAGAACAGAATGAAATTGGCATACAGCTTGTGGTATGCTTTTTTTGATTACAACATAGTTTCAAAATATAACAGTATATGTGTTTACATCCCAGAATCTACTCCAGCGATCATATGGATACGTATATATATATATATACGTATCCATATGATCGCTGGAGTAAATTCTGGGAATGTAAACACATTGGACACCTAATATTTGATCTTTTCTAATCATAGAATATCTAAGATAAATAGATACTTGATAATGAACAATTATTTACTAGATGAACAATAAAACATTCAATAGATTCATAAGTTAATTACGAAACAGTATGAATATGTAGAAGTAAATCAATTTATTCCATCTATGTATATTTGTACTTTATGATGAATTGTTTATTTTTTAAATGTCTCTTTGTATATGTATGTACTTACCAATGTGTGTATGTGTGGGTGCAAGTGTGTGTGTGAACATGTTTAAAGATATTTATTTATATATTTGAGTACATAGTTATTGGGTTATTATTGATGAATATGAAAATAATTATGATGTCATTGAATTGATAAAATATAAAATTTGGTAAAAGTGCATAGAGATTAATTAAATAATAATTATAATAGTAGTATCATAATAAACAAAGAAAAAATATAACAATGATTATATTATACAACATTATAATGATCATAAATTTATTATGTAAGTTTAAAATATTTCACTATAAATATGAAATCACTATAGTATGATTACGTCATCTTACTTTTTATTGTTCTTAAACAAAACCCCAGAAATTTATAAATCATTCATCTTTCATTTAATATTAATAATTATTATTGAATATTTCAAGAATATTTATTTGAATGATTAACTAAATATTCAGATTGATTTACATAAGAAACATTAACTTTCGTGATCAAAATGAGTAGTTCTAAAGTGTTTTGAGTTACATATATCATTATAAACAATTAAGAAGCTGTTTGTGGAGGTTTTAGAAGATTTCACAGATTGAAATCATCAGAAGCCGTTACCAGTGGAGTTCAACCAGGTCTGTGGTGAGATATCAGCTCACTGAAGACAATGGTATACGGTGGCGCAATTTCGTGGATTGGTTGAAGTTAGACATTAACACCGTTGGATGTCGGCTGAGTGGTCTGGTGGTTAAGTGCTCGCGCGTGAGACTGATAGGTCCTGGGTTCGAATCTTGCGTGGTGCGGGATCGTGGATGCGCACTGCTGAGGAGTCCCATACTAGGACGAAATGGCTGTCCAGTGCTTCCAGGTTTTCCATGGTGGTTTAGTTTCAACTGACTCATGATCTTAACCATTGATAATACATATTATGTTGTAACTAATCAATAATATAACCGATTTTCTATTCTAATAATTACTATCAGGATGAGTGCATTTTCTTTAGAATAATATTCAGTATATTAAATCTATAAAGTAATTGCTTTGTTAAAATTGTTCTTAAAATAAATAAGTGACATAAATTTCAATTTAATAGTCGAATAATTAGAAAAAAACAAAGCAAAGATTTATGACTAATAGAGACCTCAGGCAGTTTGTCAACTTCATATTTCATCCTATATATTTAGTTTCATTATCTATTTGACATAGATATAATAGTGACATGATAAGGAAATGAGAATGACATTATATATATATATATATATATATATATATATATATATATATATATATATATATATATATATATTTGTATTGTAAACGGGACAGGTAATATATCGCAACATAACGCATGCAATTATATTGCATGAATACGTTTATATATGATTTGGCGTAAATCTTCTCATAGAAAAGTATTTTAACGTATATATTACACCATGTAACTATCATTAGGTATATCCTATAAATAGGATTCATTCATGAATTCATGAACAAATAAAAACTGAGATCATTAGAGCATTAATGTCGGTTATAAATTGATTTTCTTGTTGTCAATCAATTTCATTTATTATTTTGTACATATGAAATTTATTTACTTTTTTGTTGTTGGAAATTTCTGAAACATTGAAAGAGGAGAATTGTTGCTTACTTACTTACTTACGCCTGTTACTCCTCGTGAAGGAGCATAGGCCGCTCACCAGCATTCGCCATCCAACCCTGTCCTGGACAATCCTTTCCAGCTCTTTCCATTTGTTATTCATCCTTTTCATATCTGTTTCTATTTCCCGACGTAATGTGTTCTTTGGCCTTCCACTTTTCCACTTCCCTTCGGGATTCCAAGTTAGGGTTTGCCTTGTGGTGCAGTTTGGTGATTTGCGTAATGTATGTCCTATCCACTAACTTCATCGTCTTTTCCTAATTTCTTCAGCTGGAAGCTGGTTTGTTCTCTCCCAGAGAAGGCTGTTGCCGATGGTATCCGACCGTTGAATGTCGAGTATCTTGTGTAGACAACTATTTATAATTACTTGTACCTTCTTGATGGTGGTGGTTGTAGTTCTCTTAGTTTTAGCTCCGTACAGTAGAACTGACTGTTTCGACGTTCGAATTGAAGATTCTCAATTTGATATTGGTTGAAAGGTGTTTTGAGTTCCATATGTTCTTCAATTGTAAGAATGTGGCTCTTGCTTTGTCAATTCTCGCCTTTACATCTGCATCTGAACCTCCTTGTTTATCGATGATACTTCCCAGGTATGTGAAGGATTCTACATCTTCCAGAGTTTCTCCATCAAGTGTGAATGGACTGCTGTTCTCCGTTTTGAATTTTAGGACCTTGTTTTTCCCATTGTGTTTAATTGACTTTTAGGATTAGATTGAATTTAAAAAAAAAGAATGTATTTGTAAAAAGAAACTATATTTCCTTGAAAAAACTTGGACCAGATTGCTAAGTGAAACGTTGAATTTACTTCAAATTCTTTCACTGAGATTTTTCAAATACATTCTTTCTTTTTAATGTCTCACATCAACTCAGCGCTTAAATACTGTGAAACTATTCGATCAAATCTAGACAAAAGCTCTTATTTATTAAATTGAATTTAGTTTAGGAAATTAAACCAATTTCGGATAGTAATTAGTATGTTTTAATGTAATGTAGTTAACTAAAGTTTATTCATAACAAGATAAGTGTTAAGTCTTTAGCATAGTCGACTCTTCTTCTTCTTCTTCTTCTTAGGCGTCAATTTTATCAACTACTTCACTGAATGATACATGTTCAGGACTCGATTATTGTATTTATTATACATATATTATTAGGGGATATCAATGAGGTTAAATGACTTTATATCTGTTGATCTTATCTATCCAAAATCCCTTGGAATTTGATTGGCAAATATCTATTTATTTTGGTAATCATGGTGAACGATTTGATCTAGAGATTATGGTCAATGTTGATTACCAAAAAGCCTGATACATGGTGTTTTGTATTTAAGCCTATCTACTATACTCTGTGTAACGTAGGGGAACAATCATTAATTGAAGTACAAGGTGAAAAAACTAACATGCCTTAAATCGTTTCATCCACTTGCTTTTTTACACGTTACTTAGTTGAAGTAGGCTTTTTGTGTCGATTATCTTTTGTTATTCCTCATCTCATACAATGAACTACAGAATCAAGTTATTAACTTTATTAGCCACATGTCAAAGTTGATTGATAGAATTTAGTTAGAATTCATAAATGGACTATATAACTCATGCAACAATGCAACTAGGGTTTCTGATGTATCGTTTAAGTTTCATACTGATTATATATTTTTATAATTTTTATGGAACATCTATTCAACATTTCTTGATTTTTATTAGTCTGATTATAAGTTTGCTTTTCGTTCATGCTAGAAAGTGTATATAAAAATAATAATATAATAGACAAGACCTAGAAATGTTATTAATGAAAATTGAATTGTTGTATAGATTTATGGAGTTGGCTTAAAGGAGAACATTGACGGATGGGAAATTTCATTCAAATGAAATACAATTGTACATTGAGTAAAATTAATTTAACTGTATTTAATATCATCAGAATTTTTGTTCTAATTCCAAGCTAAACTGATCTCAGTAAGCACTTGTTATATCCCAACGAGAATTATGCATGGTAACTTTTAAGGATTATTTATGGACCAATACGATACATATATTTTTATTATATAATTCCTAAGTGACTATACTATGCATATTCATGTTTCTCATATTATAAGCTTTATTTTGACTCATAGACTATTACTATACGATTTACCGTTCTTGAGTTGCACCCAGTCTATTAATTACAGTCTCCCACATTCACAGTCACTTTTGGCTTAATCTTGTACAAATGTTGTTTTCTATTTTGTGGTACGATGTGGTCTGCTTGGTTTGTATATAAACCCAATATGTTTGAAATACATGATTCATATCGCAGAGGCTGGAATTGTTATTCTGGACTCAACAGACAGGGCTAGACAGGAAGAAGGACCTATAAGGATTCTAGACTGCTCTTAAGGGTTTATGCGTCATTGGTTCGATCGATAAATCACTATTTTTTAATTGACGGTATCATTATGTTATATATTTATAGGGCACAAGGCCACAAGTTATAATAGTGCTATCAATATATCTAAGATTTTTCAGTGAAGGATTCTACTGGGTCTTGCAAATGTTCAAATACTTTTCCAATGTTTGTTTTTTGTAAAATATTTCTGGACGACAAATCTATTACATTCCAAAATATCTTCCCAATAGTATCTGCACATATCGTATGAACGCTAACATCAAAGCCTTTTCTTCTTTCAAAGAACTATAATAAAGATCTACAGACTAAAATCTTCGAATCTATAAACTCTCGTTCAAGAATAATTAAATAAAAACTGATAAGGACTATTAGTAAAGGGAAAAAGTGAAATCCGCCACTTCAAACGACATAATTATTTGTTAATTACTGACCATTATTCAAGCTATCAGAATAAAGTATAACAGACAGTGTTTAGAGGTTTTTATTATTGTTTCCATAGCTTGTTAATATTCATCAGTGACAGGCAGGCGAAATTTGAAAAAAATCATGCAGTTACTTAAAGCATAAGAAACACATACATTTTAACCATATCCAAACTATCTTCAGTAGTCTAATAACTAGGTAATTTATGTAATATATTTGATTACTTATTAGACATCAGTATGATATAGATATATTCAGCATATTCAATTTTGTTTAGTTTACTTAAAGTTAAGTTTCCCCGGTACAGTTAAGTGATTTTATGTTCTAAAACAGATGTCACTATAGTTTAAGGTATGTTTCGTAAACATTGTTGTTACATTCAAAATTGCAGAAAATTTATCTAAGGTAATAAGATTTGGGTGTTCGCTTTTTGACTTATTTATATTTAGTTTTATTATTCTGACTACAGACAGTAGCATAGATGATTATTTGAACTATTTGTTTGTGAATATGGTATTTCAATGGGATGATGAACCGATTAATATTAGACCATCATTGAAAACCTAGAACACTGGATCAAGATTTGCTAAGGCTTCATTGTTTTTGGTTACGTGAAAGTCTTTGATATATTCGAAGCGTACATGATTTTTTAAAGCTTTAGACAGAAGTGAAATTGTTTTTTTCTAAGCTTATTAAAATTACCATGATCAGAAATCTTAAAAAAAATTTATTTTGAAAGGAGATCATGGGCACGTTCTTCCTATCGTTTTATATATAAGTGTGAATCCGTCTTTTCGTCGTATAAAATTTGAAGCTTGATTCGTCAGCTTTAATTTGATTTCATAGGAAATAAAGTATTTTGAGCTCATTATCTTTAATAGTTCAAAAATAATTTTTTAAAGGCCACTGTCATATTTTGTGAGATTTTAGGATGATAATTCTGTTTGACTTACATCCTCTGAGAACGGTGATTTAATCTCCAAGCTTTCATTGACCTTTTAGAGGGTATCATTCATAACGACTTTTGTGTAGCAGCTGTGGTCAATTCTTTTTGAACAGCTGTACAAGTTGTATTTCTTTTACCTAAATGATACAAAATTCTGTAATTTCCATGGTTTTTAAAATTACAGTTTTGTTACAAGCATCTAGTCTATTGAGTTTAAACAGACTGACTAACGATTAATAAACGTTAGTGTTTATGTGCAATTCTTTTACTTAAATAACTGTATTGTATGTTTTCAGTAATACTTTATTTGGAATTTTGTACTTACATTTAGGCCACTTGAATCATGGTTTAGTGATATTACTTTATCAGTGATATGATATTATTACTGCTTTTGACTGGATGATGATAAGACAATACGTTGACTAAGGATTTAAAAGAAATAACTACTTTAAGGGTAGATCTTATTGTTAAATTCAAAGGGCTATCACAAACAAATGATTGTTTCTTGTTTACGACACTTTAAGGAGGGTAGTATTTATCGAATAAACAGGTTCAGACTTAATAGTGGTACCTTTTACAGATGCTGTCATTTTATGATATGACGAATGGTTAACACTATCCTATCTCAGGGTGTAGAATTTGAAAAACATCGTTCCTCTTAGTCTACTAATATAGTTGCGAGTTATTATTCCTTTTAATGGCTTGACAGAGATTTGGTAAACTGGAAATCAGCTCTCATAAAAGACATAGATTACTTTGCAGACTAGTCTTGTGTTATCTATTGGTTTCATTTGTACGCTGTTATCATCCAAATCCAAATGATCTAAATGTAATAGGTAATTCCTAATTCACAATAGATGTAAGTTCATTGTAGTATCGATTTTAAGGTGATGGTTTGATTGTAAGTTGACCAAATAAGGTATTCTCTTTATTTCTAAACAAAATAAAGTTCAGCTGTTTTTTGCACCTTATAGATAATGTGAATTGTAATTATTCAAGCATCATTGAACCCGTCATTTATGGAGGTCATCAGTTAATAGTGAATCAGAATGGGAAAGTGGATTTTATGAAACCAGAAATTATTAGTATCAATAGTCAATCACAAAATATTCCACCTCATAAAACTCCTGAAGTTAAACAATCAGTAGAAGATATTTCAAAAGACAAAAGACGAATAGCACAGAATTACTTTTTTCATAGTGTACAAATTCCAGAAAGTTTAATACAATTTCTTCTTGATCGATTTGTTTCAATAAGTTATGCACTTCATGGATTTAGAACAGTAAAACCAAGGCATTTATGCGGTGGTCTACTCATTAGTAATGAATGGGTATTAACTGCAGCTCATTGTATTAGTCCATTTCAAAGGTATTCTAATTTTTTTTACTTATATTTTTCTCACTATATAATAGTAGTATTAAAAGTCTTCAAATATCAAAACTACGTCAATACATGGATAAATCATCAATTAATTTTAAACCTAATGATAAAGCAAAATTGGTTGATGCATTAATTCTTCATCCAAATTTTACACAAGGTCAAAGTTTATCACCAGATATTGGTTTAATTAAATTAAAACACTCTATTCTTGATTCACTTACTAATGAAATTTATAATTATGAAGAATTGAAACGTTTTTTATTAATAAATGATGAACTACTAATAAGTAGTCAAGAATATATATGTATAGTTTCAGGTGTTGGTCATTTAAAATATCGCGATATAAAGAATACAAATTCTAATAATTGTATAAGTTTATGATTAAGATAAATATATAATTGGTTCATTTTATTTAGTATAGATTTTCATGTTGCATTTGTACATCTTGAATCCTGTAATGAATTATGGAAGAAATTACAATTAGAAACAGAAATAAAACAAATCACAAGTTCTGAACAACGACAAGAATATGAATGGATAAATATTTGTAAACAAAGTTTGATTGATAATTCTATTGGTCAAAAGTGTCCTTTTAGTTATTTATGCGCTGGTGGAAGATATGTAGATGGTGATACATGTCAAGGAGATAGTGGTGGACCACTTTTATGCATTGAATCAAAAAATTATTCGAAATTTATAAAGGTGAGAAATTTATTTTAAACACGTTTTGAAGTGGATTTTTTTAAATAATTTAGCGGCAAAAATGTCGTAAGATGTTGTCAATAAATGGCCAATCAATTCAATCAAGACTCAGTAGCTAAATGGATAATGCAATGGCATTTGAAGTGAACGGTACTGGGTTCGAGTACCCGAGTGAACATCAACTCTGAGATGCAGGTACATCCGACTGATGAGTCTCAAATAGGACGAAATGCGCGTCCTGGATTCCACTGTTAGCCACTAACCATCTTTGCTTAAAAAGCTTGTGATTTAAGGCAATATCGAGGCAATCCGAACATGATGCATATATGCCAATAAGAGACTGATCAATTGCAGTTCTAAATAACAATGGGAAGATACAAGTAAACAATACCAAATGAATTCAAGTTATATGGTTGTCATATAGTTCAATAAAGACAAACGCACAAAAGGTGTAGAGATCGGTGAACGAAGGTAAAAGCAGGAGGACCAAGAAAATTAATATATTAATAATTCATTAAAGCACAGTTCGATTATACTGATGAGTGATATTTCAGATATTTATGTATTTCAAGACTATGTTCAAATTCAGTTTATTTTGTTCAACGTCAGTGATATGGAAACCAAAATCACTGTTAAACTTTAACATAATACACATTATAGTTAGGTAATATTTGAGTTTATGTTTACTAAAATATAACAATCTAATTGTCTTAAACATATTTATTGGCAAGAAAGAAGAGCAATCTTTTGCGCTAATTTTGTTGATTGATTAACTGCCTAGTGTGATACTTTAAGACTTCATGGTTTTGATAAGTTTTATTTCACATAACTTATTGCTACATTTTGAAACATGAAGTGGATAATCATCTATGTAAATTGTTAAGGTTCTCTCTTAATGTACTGGATTGATAAATACTTGTGTTAAATCGGATATTTAGGCACTTGAAGTATTAGTATTTCGTGTACAATTTAGAGCTTTACAAGTGACTGTAGAGCAGATCAGTTATGCATAGCAAGTTTGAATAGTTAGGATGATGTTATGCAAATTATTAGGTTTGTCTTTATCAGAGATCGATCTTAGCTTAAAAATCATCCCAAACTAGTGAGCAGTGAACTGAAGTTTCATCTTTATTTAGGACTACTCATCAGTGACGGAATAGGACCATACACCAAATTGAACCTAGAAACTCCATGCTTCATGCCGATTGTATTACTTTTGAACTACAGAGTTGAAGACCATTGTTTGACATTTTGAAGTTCAGTAAATTTGCTGTGCAACCCATGGGTAATTTGAATTTGTTGCCGAAATCAATATTACTTTTGGTCAGAATAAAGTTCACCAGTAATGCTAGCTTTTATCATAGGGCATTATTATCTGTAAAACTATTTGTTAGAATTAGTAGAAAAAAATGATGACAAATCAATTGTCGACGAAGATGTTAGACTAAGTTTTTTAAAAAATGACTGTAAGATATGGAATATCAACCAGTATAGCTCATTTTTGATTGAGATCATGAATCGATCAATGTTAGACCAACATTGAAAACCTGGAAGCATTGGACGGCTGTTTCGTCTCAGCACGGGACTCCTCAGCAGTACGCGTCAGTGATTCTGCGCACGGGAATGGAACCCAGGACCTTCGGTTTCGCGTGCGAACGCTTAACCTCTAAACCACTGAGCTGGCATTCAACGGTGTTAACGTCTAACTTCAATCGACCCATGATCTTGAGCAACTCATTTTCTGAGGTCGATAACTGTCATACAGCAGACATGGATTGGGCTCCACTAATCAGGGGTTCTCACTAGAACTGTGAACATATAACAATCTCTATGATCAATACACGCAGATGCGCACTACCGAGGAGTCCCATATTAGAACGAAACGGCCGTCCAGTTCTTACAGGTTTTTAGTGATGGTCCAATATTAATCATTCATGATCTTAATCAAAACTCAATAATCTCCACATACCTATAATGATAGTACATTTTACAAATTACTGAATGTTAATCTATACAGTATTCCATAACAACTATGAATTGTTGAATTCATTAGCTTACTAGTAAATACAGTTTGTTTGGCTTAATTTGCGAATATTGAAACCTTTCAATTCCGGTCTCTTAGTTAAATTTACTGAAATAATAACAGTTTATAAAAATTACTACTATTCTATCAATAACATTTATTTTGTGTTCAGTGATTGTTTCTAAGTAATTATTAGAATATTCTAGAGACTGTTCATTAAAAGTTAATCATAACTCTTACAATCTCTTTCTAAAAATATAAATAGTTTTCAGCAAAGATGGATAGTGGTTAGCAGTGGAATCCAGAACGTGTGTTTTCTCGTCCTATTTGGGACTCGTCAGCTGGATGTACCTTCCACTGCTAGCCACTATCCATCTGTGCTTTAAAAAAGCTTGTGATTTAAGGCTAAATATCGAGTCAATCCGAACAGGATGCACATATGCCAACATAAGATTGATGAATTGCAGTTCTAAATAACAATAGGAAGTTACAAGTAAAACATCACCAAGTGAATATAAATAGTTTTGTTTCATATTCTGATTCTCTTTTATTCTTGACTTTGTTTTATTACAAAAGAAATATCTTTTAACTATATATATACATAAATATTTAATAATAGTTTCTTTTAACCTATTTACCATTCGGTAGAAATAAGGTCATTTCCTAAAATAATCATCAATGTTTTTTGTTGTTGTTGTTGTTGTTGTTGTGAAAAGCAAAATTATTATTTTCACTTATCCACAAACTGGATATGAGACAACAATGTCTTTTTTCTATTCATTAATTGTATATTATATCCTTTTTGATTGCTTCCTTCTCTCTCTCGCTCGCTCTCAATCTTCTAACTTTTATGGGAATATGAATAGATTATCTTATCATTCAATATAGCATTGAGTGTGTTCAATAGACGTAAAAGAACTAATTATCAGAAAAGCCTAAGACAAACTCCCTTTATTACTATTATTATTATGAAGTATGAACTAGTTAACGAAGTTTAACAGTGATTGCTGTAATTTGTATTATTGAATTCAAAATAATTCAAGCGATAACTATCATTCGAAATATCTCATTCATGCCTTAAATATTATTATTTACCACATCAATATTTATTTGTACATGTTTAGGTATGCTCATACATATAACCTGACTCTAGGAAATTAAGTAGGTATAAGTAGGAAAAGCATAATGAAAGGTTGGATTTCTTAATACATGATTTTAGTACCTTGACTAATTCATCTTTGTATGCATGTTTTTATGTTGAAGTTCTTTTTAATAGGAAGGAAGAATTGTTTTTCAAAGGAAACTTAGGATAGATATACACTGCTGATGAGTAACTGATGTCATGTCGATGAAGTTGTTTTATGTTCAATTATGGATGTAATACAATTGCAAAAGTACGGTACGGAAAACTATCGCAGGTAAAATGAAATCGGCTTCTTGTCAACATAATTTATCAATGAATACAGCAGAAAAATGGATCTTTTAACATTGAAATAACATTAATCACAATAATATAATGAAATTAAGAAATTAGAAATTGGAAAACGCCAAGAATTTTCAACAGTGACGATCTTCGATGATGGATACCCTTGTGGCTTACTAAGTACCGTTGAGTCAAGTTAGTGGTTATGGGAAGAAGTTTAAGGAACTGGAGTACACATATCTTATCTGATTATTGTCACCAGAAACGTACAGTAATACCAGTCTGTTTTTAAGTGTTGCATTATTGTGTGAATTGATAATGTCATTTCCAAAATATTCTTTTTAACCCTTAGAAATGGTTCGTTGCTGGTATTGCGTCATCAGGAATTCAGTGTGGTTTGAATGGAATCCCATCAATCTATACACCATTATATCCCTATTTTGACTGGATCGAATCCACTACAGGATACGGAAAGCTTAAACCTTTCGAGTAAACTTTGTGTTTATGTTCGGACTACTTTAATCTATTTCAGTAGCTCTACAGTTACGAAAATATTTATGCAGTTTATTTATCTTACACGAATTAAAATTGGATGAGTTATTTGGTACTTGTCTTAGTTTTCTTTCATCGACCGTAGTAAGGTGTTATTTGCCCATATAGTTAGTCAAACTTATCTTATTTCAGGACAGATGTAATTAAATGACTGCTCTGACTGGAATTGGATCTGACACCTACGGGAAAAACCATGAATCTTGCGCCCATAGGTTAGTTTATAATGTACATTGGTATAATATTTACTGATGAATAAATTCAAAGATTTATAGTTCTTTGCAGTCAGGCTGTTTACATATTATAGATGGCTCAGTTAATCATTCCATTTGACTTAATTTGTCATATTTCTTGGTATGAGATAATCAGCCTATGACACGCAAAAGTATCAGGATCAAACATAAAATCACTTTATCCTCTGAATCCACCAAATTTACCTCCAGCACTAGTCGAAAATAATGTTTTAATGGCATACTGACAGTGCAATGCCGCGGTTTCTTCATAAATTTTACCTTCAAAAACCACATCTGACTGACAACATATTGTTAAGCGGACTCAATTAGGAGAGCTACTCAAGTGAGTTGATAAACTACAGACAACTCTTATGCATTTGTAGTGAGATATTTAGGTTTACAAGCCCTCAGGGACATTGTAACTTCCAATGTAGGTTAATTGAAATATATACATGTATTATCTTTTTTGAGAACCACTGATCACCAGATAGACGCTTCTTCTTCTTACTCTTAATCTACGACTAACACCTTACTGACCTTAGAACTGTCATTTATTGTGGCAAATGCATTACTTTTGGACCACTGAGTCAAAGTCCTTTAGTTCTTGATTCTAATGTCAATAATTCTGAATTATATCAGCCGAAAAAATCGATGGTCGTTTTAGTTTCTGAGAAATTAACTAAAGAGTAGTCAAATCCAAGTCAGTAGTCTCTATAAATTTCTAAGTGATATGTAATCCGCAGTCTGTAGTAGTAGTCTATCTATATTAATATGCTACAATGAACTGATTTCTCATAAAAGATAGATATGAACAATTAAATTACGACTTACAATACAAATAGTAACACACTGTATCAGAAACAAGCTGTGTGATTTCTCCCTTGTCTTTCATGCATTTTATCTTCTTGTATATTTGAGAGTTCATGTATTAATTAGATATTCAAGTAGGTTAATCAGCCAATAGACTTCATTAGACATATGTTATTGATATGGATAACGAAAAATATGCTAAAGATAATTCTGTTTATTTACGAAGGAATATTTTGAATTGGGAAAGAAATTCTCTAGCTTAAAAAAAGTTTTATGGTGTCGTATTTATGATCCTAAACGATATAATTGTGATTCTCTCATTACCTTTCTAGGAAATAACATCAGCACAAACTTAAAAGTAAAGGTTTAGAACTGCTGTACGTGTGGTCCTTAGTTCACCCTATCAACTTGGGATACAAATGATGAGTGAATTAGAATCTCAGAGGAATAGAGGGTGTTTCTCTCATTTATGGATGAAAAGAAGAAATACGGTCTAGATTATAAACCCTCTTTCTAGTTTCCTCAAACAATTAAAAACAAATTATCTATGCCATGTATTCATTAATCTGCTAAAATGATTGCGACTGAGTGTTTGTATGCACGTGGTCAGAGCTAGTGATTTTCTTAGTAATTTGCTCTACTTGTGAATTTATAAGTAGTGTACGTTTTAACATAAAATTATGAAATTTGGACAAAACAGGACAAATCGTATAACGTAATTCGAAAATATTTGTAAAATAAAACCTAGTTATGTGGTATCCGACAATGACTAAATAAATAGTAACTGCCAGGGTTAATTTATGGGCCATTATTAAATACATATTATTATTGTATAGTTATTATTTAACTAGAATTACATACATATAATTATATACAACCCTTTCATCATGAGCTTTCGATTAACCCATTAACAACTGTTGTATAAGAAATTATTCTTAACCTGTTCCAAGTTTATTATTCACAGTCTCCCTTACTCACTGCCACATTTTGACGTGATTATGTGTAATTGTTATTTCTCATTTTAAGGTGTGATGTGATCATGTATATCTGCGTATAAACTACTCACGCTTGAAACATAATACTCGTATTGTGCAGGCTGATTACTATATTCTGAACTTAACAAGCAGGACAGCAAGGAAAGCTAGGGTATTAAAGACCTATAAGAGCTTAGTGTTGAATCAAGTTTATTAATACTGAACGGATTCCGAATGGTCTTTTTATCAGGGGATGTTAGTGAGTGGCCATAAGTCATAACAGGTTACTTTAATGTTTATCGAATTTATAGTTGACTGGAGCAAAGACTATCATTTATAAAGGGACAAAAGGGTCAAAAGGTGTAATACGTTATCAGCTACGATTCTAAATGATGAAAGTGGTGACATTTTGCTATTGTTTGTTTTCCGGTAAAGAAAGTTTATAGATTTTTTCAAACTATGACAAATAAAGATTTGTTCCTGTTTTATTGAGTATGTGCAATTGATGGTTTTAATTATCACTTGTCATTATATTATTAATCACGCCTATATTGCAATTCAACACGGTTTCTTTTCGTTACATGTCTAGTTTATAATGTCATTCTACATTCAGCTTCTATCTCCTTGTCTTTAGTAAAAAGATGTAGTCAAAAATTTTATAATACCATTGATCTAATTATTTTTTGAATGCTGGGAAATATAAAGTTAGTCTTCATTACATGATTTTAAAATAATCTTCAATTCATTCAACTAGATTTATGAATAATGCTTTCTTTCAAAGTTCATTTTCCTAGTCGTTTACTTAGTTGTTTCTATTGTTTTTTTCGTAAAATTTGGCACTCAAACGTCAAGCTATTCTGAAGCTTTAACAAAAATGATTCCATTTTTTGGCTTTTCAATACCAACATGGGTATATATTGCACAATCCATTTTTCTAAAATCTTGGGTATCATCATAAAAAAGCTTAACATCAGATGAGAGCAACAAGTTTGGGAGGGGGGACTAAACCATTGACTGATTAAACCAATGCTATTCTCAAAGATCACAATACCTTATAGGGTTATATATAACTTATAATATAATCATTCTCAGACCGAATGACGACACTATTTTGTGAAGTTTTAATAAAATGTTGTAAACTATGAAGTCTGTCAATTTGTGAGTAAATCATCTAAATACCTACTGATAATAATGGATTATAGACTAGCAGTATTGAGAAGTGAATGTTGATGAAAATATGGATCATCGGATTTTAACTCAGTATTCTGTAGTCATTGTACTCATAACAAGACTTGAAGGCCGTTTATCCGGTTCCTCGTAAAAGAACAAGTAAGTGAAGTTTAAACATTGCATAATATAATCCCCCAACCAATTCTAAACAGTGAATTGACAAAACTAGTTGGAACTAGTATAAAATATCATATTGGTAATAATATTTGTAAAAACTAAATGAATATGATATATTGTTGTTATATTAAAAGTTCCATTGTTTGAACAAAAAAGGCATGATATGCTT